TAACTAGCAGACACTGTGCAGAAAATCGACATCGTTCAAAACTCCACCTTCTGTTTGCTGATTGGCCCAGGTAAAATAAACTACAAGCAGACACTGCGCAGAAAATTGACGTCGTTCAAAACTCCGCCTTCTGTTTGCTGATTGGCCCAGGTAAAATAAACTACAAGCAGACACTGCGCAGAAAATCGACGTTGTGTTCTCTGATTGGCCCGGACGAAAATTCTCCCAAAGAAATCCTTGTCTATGGGAGAAATCCCAGACGGAGCAGTGAAGGAAAACTAGAAATGAGCGGAACTGTGTAGGAAGGCAAGGTTAAGGCTAGTTGGGTGAGGATTATTTAATTTTCTTTGTTTTTTAACGTCCTACAGGTTCTGAAACATAAAATTAATTTAAAACTGATTTTTTGACAAAACACCTGTGAGATCTGAAAAAATCCACGAGATTTCTCTGTACATAAATATACCTGCAAAATGGGGAGAAATCTGTAAATTACGGACAATCTGTTCAAGTTGTACGCATTTTACAGTCTTATTTTATTCTAAAACCTGTGTGTGTTAGTTTGTCTCTGGTCTTTTCTCAAAGGCCTTGGTGTTGTGTGTGATCCAGAGTGTGTGCATGTGCACCTTTGTACAAACACAACTGAGCATTCCTGTATGTGAATAGTTCATGACTTAGCAGTTTTCGTGCGGCGGTGGTGGTGAGAGAAGCCTGTTGTGCGCCGCAGTAACCCGGTGCTCGCTTGTGTCCGCAGCTCTCCAGACTGAAGCAGGAGCTGGCCCAGGTGAAGCAGGAGCTGCAGTATAAGGAAATGGGAGTGGAGACCCTGCAGGAGTGAGTGTTCCTCTGCCTCTGTGTCCCACGTCCACCCTTCTTCCCATGGCTGCCCTTCTCCTTTCCTGCAAACCGGCCCCACTGCTCCCCGCCCAGCGGCCTCTTCCCTCTTTTATTCCCTCTGTTTGCTCTTGTCCACGGCCTAAACTGTCCCTCTGTGTTTCTTCCGCTGTTCCTCCACTCAGCCTTCCTGTGTTCAAACCAGCTTTTCAAACTGTTCCCACAACATGCTTTTTTTATAAAACACATTTGAAAAGTTTTTCCCAAATTGTTTAGCATTCTCTTTAGTGTGCGTTCCAGAAGTTTAAGGGCACAAGGCTGGGAAGATTTCTTAGCCATTCCAAGTTTTATGTTGAAAATAGAAGCRCTTTCTTGTCTCTCTGAGGAGGGTAGAAAAGAGAGAAAGAGTGTTTGAGAAAAGGCAAATGGAGGAAGTKTTTTTTTTTTGATGGAAAAGGGGACTCCACCTCAGGAAGAGGATGCACCAGTGGAGTGCAGGGAGCCAAGGCTCAGCCCGGAGAGGAAGTTATTCTATTGGGGGGGGGGGGGGGGGGTCCAAAGCAGCTTCAAAAACACAAGAGATATCTGGCAGCAAATTCCTCTGCACTTCCTGAGTCCTGGCAAAGAGTCTCTTATCTCTTAGATAATTCGCAACTCAAGTGATTCCCAGAATAGCTGAGAGCATACAGAGCTTGCAGAAAACAGGTCCCCTCCTCTCTAGTTGTCTTGCATGTATACGTGCTTGTGTGCGTGTTTGTGCTTTTGTTTGCTTACGTGCAGTGGTGGGCACCAGTCCGCTAAAGCGCACATCCGCTAATTGCGGACCGAAATATTTCATTTACGCTTTAGTGGTCTTAATAATTTTTGTAATTCATAAGCAGATTTACGCTTTCTAAAATTAAAATTCAGTACCGCTAAAAACTAATTATCTACGAGTATTTGTCACCTTGAACAGCTGAAGGTATGGCTTTTTATTTAAACAGCAGTAGAACATCAACTGGTTTCATAGTAAAGATAATTCCCTAAGGAATTTGTTATTTTTCTTGAACAGCAGAGAGGGCTCGGTATCAGTGATGAACACCATGCGAAAACACAGCATTGAAACACCGCCCTCTCTGGCTTATGGAGAAATAACACAGGGCTTTATCCTGTGATTAACTGTTCTGCATGACGGTTCTGAAATTGTATATTTATATATATTTTGTTTGTGTGGGTGTATATATTGTGTATAAAATTTTTGGTTTTAAATGAAATGAA